CCCTCCAACAGACGTGTGATGTCATGTGACGTCATGCGCCCGCCTCCAGGATGGGCTGGTGGCTAAATGCAAAATAGAATATAAATCTGTTTTGTTTGAGGCAACTAATGAAAACATTTCTCGTTTACGTTCATTTTGTCCGAAACATATTTTTAGTCTTTGCACATGTCTAGTAATATGTGTGCGTGTGTGTCTGTGGGGGAGGAGGAGTTATTTTTTATTTATTTATTTTTTCTTACTGTTGGGGAGCTTCGGGGAAATATTAGGGATCTAAACAGACCCCTGACGTTTCCCTTTTAAAATAGAAAATGGAGGGAGCGCTGTCACTTCAGGATGGCCGAGCAGTGAGAAGAGAGAGAGCTGTCAGATCCTGGCCAAGCGACTCTCTCTCTCCTCACCACTCGGCCATCCTGGATTACAGCTCATCTGCCCCCCTTGCTGGCTGCAGCGATCCACCAGAGGAGGGTCTGATGAGTAATAATTAGTGTTCCAGGGAGGTGGAGTCAACGGTCCGCGCCTGGGCCCCTTCTCCAAGTTCCATTGGCGAGGACCAAGAACTGGAGCGGCACCCTGTGCGGTAACAAGGTTTTTCACTGTTTCACGTGTGCGCACAATGTTGAAGCTTGGCGTGTTTGGTATCTATTTACTCGGCATAACCCTTAACTTTTATATTACACAAGCAATGGTTATCATATTGTATTTGTGTCCCCTGTGCTGTTTCTGGGCCCCGTAGCACTCCTGTAGTCTGACATATGTACAGTTGCACCTTCGGTGATAACATCTTCTTTTGCAGAGCCAAGTTTCTGCAGTAACACATCCGGAGAGGAAGTGATTGCCCGCTATAGAGAACCTGGAAATCCCTCACCGTGTGCAGCTTACAGTCCATACAAATCCTAATCTGTTGGTATACTAGATCAATGTTATTAATTATGGGGGGGGGGAAACCCCTTTCTTGGACTGTAAGAACTACAAAAAGATTTTGTGAATGACATTTGGACACATGAACCGGTGAACAGAAGACAACCATTCATTCTTGGGACCAAAAGAAGCTTTGGCGTGTGGAGAGCGACAACAAGTATTCATTTATATTGCACATAGGCGAGGGACGGTATGTGTAAATGGCAGCGCAACGGTCACCTTTATGTCCCCAGGCCTATACATGAAACCTTCTTATATAAAGGTGGCAGTGCCAAGAACATGGCAGCTCACACCAGATCTTTAGTAGATACCAAAGGCTCCAGATGGCATGTCTGGGATTCGTGGAGTCCCTCCAGTGTCTGTTATAATAATCCTCAATAGCTGACTGGCTGATTATGGGTAAAGGGGTATATAGGGGTATCATGAGAGGAACACTTGTCTTTCTGTATGTAAGTGGGTGTCACAATTCTCGACTTACCTGTATCAATCGCGGGGGCCCTCGCAGCATGTCGGTAATTGGCAGTGACTTGTGTCCTATAACTTCCCCACGTGAACCTAGTGAGGCCGCTTGCACATGTTTAATGGCATCCTTACATCAAAATGGCAGCATTAGGAGTGCTTCCTGTTATAGACAGGAATTGCATCCCTTCAGCCACACCTCCTGACATCACTTCCTGTTTGATCGCGATAAAGCTGGAAGGTTCCTGAGACTGCTCAGTTGTTTCAGAGCTATCCGCAGTGTGTTGCCGGTGCCAGTCCTGTGATTCCGGTACCTGACCTTTGCTTCCTTTATCGAGTTTGATTCTTTGCTGCCCGCCCTGACCTTGTGCTATGATTATTGGACTTACCTTTTTGTACCACGTATTTGCAATCTGTGCCTGATTCTTCTCCCGAGCACGCTATCCCAAGGTGTGCGCCCCGGCTATTGGGCTCTGCATATCCAATTACTGACAGTATGTATGTATGGGGATCAATAGCTTTTGGTGCACATTGACAATACAAAGCTTCTTCTCTTCATACCCAAAGGGTGTTGTGCTGCCAGCATTTGACCAGATTGGTCTGCAGCAAAGTTTGCGGTCAATTTGCTGATCGTGTGAAGCTTTTTATGTTTGACAGATGCCCTTTGCGATTTGAGCGTGTGACAATACACAGGGAAGAAATATGCACTTGAAACAATACTTGGGCAATAAATAGGCAATTATGACTATACACGGGCAACACGTCGGCAATGGTTACTTACTGTGGCCTACAGATGGGCCATTGTGAGAATACATGGGCAAGAAAGGGACAGTTATGACAATACATGAGCAAGAAAGGGACAATTGTGATATACATGGGCAAGAAAGGGACAATTGTGATAATACATGGGTAAGAAAGGGACAATTGTGATATACATGGGCAAAAAAGGGACAATTGTGATATACATGGGCAAGAAAGGGACAGTTATGACAATACATGAGCAAGAAAGGGACAATTGTGATAATACATGGGCAAGAAAGGGACAATCGTGATAATACATGGGCAAGAAAGGGACAGTTATGACAATACATGAGCAAGAAAGGGACAACTGTGATATACATGGGCAAGAAAGGGACAATT